CTACTGGGACTATATACGTTGACACCTCACTGTTTGCCTACAGGATTAAATTTCCTTCTGCTTTGTAGTTCAAGGCAAAACAAAATTTAAAAATGAATTCAGAAACTCAGAAACGATGTGTCCCACAAACTACTCCCGAGTTATGAAAATTTCTGTCATATTTTGCTGGTATTTCTTGAAAATGTGTTGTTTGCACCACTTATCTGCTGTAAAGTTTAATTTGTGTGAAAGTAGCTGAATTTTGAATGCACAGAGAAAGGCTCTCGTTACATGCATACCTACAGCTACGATTCCGGTGCCCCAAAACTCTGGAGAACAAATAAAAGTTTTGCCACTCTCCTGTCAATCGTGCTACTATTAATTTTTTTTCTCCAGAAATTTCTTTGATATTGTATAGGTAATGGAAGATTTCAACACTCTCAAGATATCAAATACAAATTAAATTGAGGAATATGTCAGGTGCCATACTTTTTAGAGAGAGGATGCATTTCTCTATTCAATTTTGGAATTCCCAAACTACAATTCTTTCTTCTCATGCAATTTTGCTTATCGATCTGTATGAAATATGTTACACTTATTTAGAATGATAACACTACCTGCCTACACTTCACGGTGAGTATTTTGAGCCAGTTTAGCCCACATGAAAAACACTCTCTCTTGCAAGTGCTCAGTAATTGGCTTAGTATTAGGTATAATAGAATTCAAGTCTGCAGTCGAACTTAAACGTGCCTGTCGGAAAGTACAAAAGGGATGCTATCCTGCTAGGATACAATTACATGTAAGAGAGACTTTAGGGGATACATCCATGCAGTAGTCATGTAATAAATAGATTATTAAATACAGAGGTAGATCCAGGATGTGTTGAAATGGGAGGGGGGGGGGGAGGGGGGGGGGGAGGGGGCAGGATTCTGAAAATTATTGATGAGCAAGCAAATTATGGGGGTGTGATTTTAGGGGATACCTTTTTACTCCAAAAGTTTTTCATAATTTGAGGTGCCTTTTGTGGGGTAAAGGGGAAGGGGACATATTATATGGGTTAGTTTATGTACTTACAATATGCCATTTGGATTTCAAGGGAGTGGGGGAGGGGTTTGCAGGCTGGTAGGGCCCCCGTAATGCACCTGTGATCAAAAATAGTATTGGAAGTGGTTATTGTGTATGCAAACAGCCAAGGTTAAGGTTTACTGTAAGTGCTTTTCATAATCCTATTTCCCTACATGGCCCTATCTTTCTCTGTCCATATTTCTTCTCCATTTCGTTCTCCTATCTTGTCATACATGCATGTATAGTCATCCATGTAATTCATTTTTCTTTCTTTCTTTCTTGTTTTCCTTTCTATCCAGTTTTGACTTGCCTGGTCTATTCTGGAGTGATATGTAATTGTTTAAGTGACCCAAACATGTGGATGAATGTGTGCAGTGCTTTGCAACTGCAAGGAAAAGCGCTCTATCAAATATATTTCGGATTGCATTAGATTTTTGTTTATAACGTATGTTTTTTCATTGTTTTATTTCTGCTATCAACTAATTGATTAATTAATTGTAGCCCTATTTGAGATGAAGTTTTAGTATTATCTAAATAATATATTAATTCCTTTTGCCAGAGCAGCATAATATTGTTAACCTCCCCCTTCTTGTTAGTTCAATAAATTTAGTATCTTAGAGAGTGTGATTTTTATGAATTATTCTTAATAATCAATCAAAGTAAAATCTTCCATTATGTCTCATGGTAAAAAAACAGAAGCACCTATGGCAACTGATTTTTTTTTCAACTTCGAATACTCTACATTTCAGATTCCAAGTTTATGGCATCTCATTGGCTACTTTCAGTGTATAAGAATAAGTATATCAATACAAAATGAAACATGCACTTCTCCAGAAAGACTGATTCTAGTAAGAGAAATTAGAGAGATAGAGATAGAGAAAGAGATATCATAGAGAGTGAGTTAGAGTTAGAAAGCTTGAGTGAGAGATAGAGAGGACAGGGAGATGGAGGGGGAGAGGAGCAGATATGAGGAAGGGGCAGGGGAGAAGAGGATGGAAGACAAAACAAACCAAAGTTAGTCAGAGATACAGGAAGACAAAAACAAACCAAAGTTAGTCAGAGATACAGGAAGACAAAAACAAACCAAAGTTAGTCAGAGATACAGGAAGACAAAAACAAACCAAAGTTAGTCAGAGATACAGGAAGACAAAAACAAACCAAAGTTAGTCAGAGATACAGGAAGACAAAACAAACCAAAGTTACTCAGAGATACAGGAAGACAAAAACAAACCAAAGTTAGTCAGAGATACAGGAAGACAAAAACAAACCAAAGTTAGTCAGAGATACAGGAAGACAAAAACAAACCAAAGTTAGTCAGAGATACAGAAAGACAAAAACCAATTGAAGTTAGTCAGAGATACAGGAAGACATGAAGAGAGAGCGAGGGGGAGCGAAGGGGTGGGATGATGGGAGGAGCAGACAATAAGTTGTCTTGTTTAACCTTCCACTGTAGCAATTCCATTACAGCTAACCATAATCACCATCAGTCATTTTTGATGAGGAAAATAATCAAATTATGCATATGAACAAGCAATCTAGCAAACAAAGTAATATTTGACACAGGGGAAAACACATTTTCTGAACTTGTCAGAATTGATTTGTCAGTGCAAGGTTAAAGTTATTTATTCCTCAGAAAGACGGAATGTGAAAAATTCCTCATCAATAGACAAGGCAAATTGGCAACTTCTGTATTTGAGTAATGAACTTGGCTTCGGCAGTGATTGCTTATGGCAGTAATGATGCTTGTCGATGCAGGTCATTACTCTCGTCACAGAGTGTGTTCTTAAAGGTAATCATTAAGTTATATAAATGGAAATTTCAATTTTAGATTTCTTTAAATTTGTTCTCTTATGTATCAAATTGGTTTCTTTGGAGAGGTAATTGTGATCAAAATAACCAAAAATGAAGATATTGAAATGTGGGAATATTACAATGACATAAATTCTATGGGCAATATGTCCAGTAGGGCATTTAAAATTGCCTGTGAGATGATATTTTGAAAAAGTGGCTGCGATTAATATTGTCATGTCTTGACTGTATTCACATTTGAATATGTACATTTTTTGTATGATAGTGCCAACATCCATAGCCCTGTTTCATAAAAAGCTTATCAATAATAACTGCCCCAGATCTATGACATATCTGCTCATATGATAGCCAAGCAAATGTAAAGATTTCAGTAGCTTATAAGAATGATTGTATCTTGTTATTGATCATAGGTTTTATGAAACAGCAGGGCCCTGGCTTCTCATCTGTCTTTGCTCATATCTCATTTGTTTCATATATTTTGAATCAAATCTGTTTGGCAAATTATATTCTACTATCAATGGTAATCATTATCATTCAGGGTTGATTTGACTGATTCCTAAGAATTTCATTTTTGTCACGAACAAAATGTCAGACACCCTTTAACTCCAAACATGATAACATTTCAAGGTATCTCGGTGGATTACGAATGTTGATGAAGCATGATTGGTTTATTCCCCACGCTCAATCCCATAGGATGGGACTATGAATACAAAATCTGGAATCGCATAAATACAGCGATGTTTGAATGTTCTTTCTAAATGCTCATGAGAAATTTAGCTTTTGCCTATGGCCAAAGGGCAAGCTAATGTAATTTTTGCAACGATACTGAAGAAAATGTGACTTGCATCAACACATGTTAGGCAAAATGTATGCGAAGCGTATAAGGGAAGTCATTTCATTTTGATAATATTTAGGCAAATTTGGAAAAGCAACCGCTTTTTGAATTACAGGCGTAAATTTAACAGAGACACTAAAATTCTGTTTGAACTCGAAATCTAGACTTGATTAGAATAGGATTGTTTAGGCAAGAGGAAGTTGAAGCAAAGATGCATTCTTCTTGAAAACAAAACCAACGGCTACCTAAATTATTAGACAAAGATAAAAGTTAGTGCATATCCTTGAATTTAATACATAGTTTTAGAACACCTCTACCAAAAGTATTTTTTCTTTTTTCTTTTTTTTTCTTCACATTGTTTTACATCTTCCTTTTCAAACAAACTGTATCATAGTTGAAGAACAAAAATCAATATTCAACTAACCAAGGCAGGTTTCAAGCTCGTTAAAATATTTTCTGAAATTCCAGCTTTGGACTTGGCGTTTGCATGGATTGGACGCTCATTATATCATTCCTGACCTAATGATAATGGTCTGTTTGTCTGTCTGTTACAACCATTGACCATGAGCTTGGCTGAAGGGGCTATACCTCTCTCTCTTGTGGACAGTAGTCCTAGACCATATTAGGCTTGGCATTGCGAAGCTGGAAAGGGGATCATCAATGTCTGTTGTATTGATTGTGATGGTATCTCCCTCCCCCTTCCCCCTCTTCAATTCTCTATCTCTCTTTCTCTCCACTCTGCCCCTTCTTCTCTTACTCAATCATCCATTTATCTAGTTCTCCATTCACCCTCTGTCTTTCATGTCCCTAGCACTGTGCCTCTCCCTGTTTGTCTTAATTTCTCCATCTCTCTCTCTCTCTCTCTCTCTCTCTCTCTCTCCATCTTTCCATCTCTCTCTCTCCATCTTTCCCTCTCTCCCTTCCCCTATATCCCTGCCCCTTTCATCCTTCCTCTTCCCCTCTCATCCTTCCTCTTCCCCTCTCATCCTTTCTCTTCCCCCTGTCCCTCCCTCTTCCTCCCTCCCTCTTCCTCCCTCCCTTCCTCCCTCCCTTCCTCCCTCCCTTCCTCCCTCCCTTCCTCCCTCCCTTCCTCCCTCCCTTCCTCCCTCCCTTCCTCCCTCCCTTCCTCCCTTAAGCCTCTCTCCCTCCTTTTTTTTTGATGGAGTGGTACAAATACACATTTTTCTCTGTGTATTAATGTTTAAAGTTCTTCATACATATGGTACATTATGTGGCATGTTATAGAGAATGTCTTCATATTATTACCCTTTTCACATTCACTTCATGGATGCTCTCTGATGCTTTCTTCCAGAATGCCAAACAGATGATGCCTTAGCACAGATGATGCAGCGTTGCCATGGGAGACGGCACTGTGCTGTCAAGGCTGGTAGCAAGATCTTTGGCGATCCCTGTCCAGAAGACACACATAAATACCTCATTGTGCTTTACTCATGTGGTAAGTCTCATTTGATGGTGGTGATAATGATGGTGGTGGTGGTGGTGGTGGTGGGGGTGGTGGTGGTGGTGGTGGTGGTGGTGGTGGTGGTGGTGGTGGTGGTGGTGGTGGTGGTGGTGGCGGTGGTGGCGGCGGCGGCGGCGGCGGCGGCGGCGGCGGCGGCGGCGGCGGCGGCGGCGGCGGCGGCGGTGGTGGTGGTGGTTGGGGGGTGGGGGTGGTGGTGGTAGTGGTGGTAGTGGTGATGATGATGATGAAAACAGGAAATATATTTTATAATGCTGGAGAAGATTAATTTCTGAGTTTATGTCTCATTACGGAACTTCTAAGATAGCAAACCCATGGAAGCAAGAAGGACACCTTCGGCTTCGATCGTGTGTCCAAACGAATCGCCTCTGTAGTCGAGGATCAATGCCTTACAAATGCGCATCAACATGTAGTACATCAACATTATACTGAGCCGAGGTCCCAGGACCTCCCGGTGCCATCCTCTGAGCCCTATATTGCCTAATGATGATAATCATGGGCTAGCCTTGTAGGAATGCTGATGACTTACATGATGATGTTGTTGATGATCTAGCTATCAAAGGCAGGGTTGTGATGGATATTGTGATGTGATCATGATGATGATTGATCGTAAAAATGTGATTTCGGTAATCATGTAGGCGTAATTGCATTATCCTTTTGAAGGGCTTTTGTTAAGTTATTGAGCACTCTACTTGGGTTATTTATTTATAATTCATATCCATAATTCAATCATAATGTCAAGCCACCAAAACACTGGTCATTAGCAAAGTTATGATATCGATTAGGGGTAGGGTGAGAACTATTAGAGCTCTGAATTTCTAGCAAAATATAAATCAGTCAAATAATGATGTGTGACAATACCTGTTGATCCAAAATCATGGTTTTGACTTTCAGAGAAAGAACTTTTCTCATACCCTCTCATCTAATAGGCTTTGTTCTGTGTAAATATTTCATCGGAGATCAAGAAAAATGCCCATGTTCCTTTTCTGTTCTGGATAATTGAGCACCGAGAGCCACAACCATGCAATTAGCTACCGAGGGTCATGGGGTTAATATCTCTCTCCATCGCTCATCTGGACGTTTATTCGCTATCGAGAGTAGCGCTTCTTATCCATTTTGATTGAGGATTCCACCTGTGACTACCTTTTTTGGATCATCTTGAGGTGCCAAGGGCGTAGCCAGGGGGTGATAGGGGCATTTAGCTTCCTCTGAAACCCCCTTATAGAGGGGAAAAGGGATGATTGGGAGAAAATAGGATATAGCCAAGGAGTCGTAAGAGCATTTCAGCCCCCTCCCAAATGCCCCTATATGTATAACTACAATAAGAAGGGTACTAGAGGCAAGGGAAAGGATAAAAAAAAAATGGGTATATACCCCCTCCTTCCTCCCCCTTCCCAGTTCTAAGACTTTTTGATACCATGGATAAGAGAAATTATTTGTTGTATGGAGTAAAAATCCATTCCAAATTGGTAAATCACAAGAAACTGCAAAGTGAAGAGGTAAAGAGCAGAACAAGAATGACCCCTTCAATTAATTTTGAAAATAAAACTGTCAATTTGTAATTGCATTCCCTAAATCTGAATATAATTGAAAGTGTCACAACCTGAGTAATACCTATGCTTTGGAAATGGAAACTATCCACTTTGTTTCAAAATCAAAGAATATAGCTTTGTCAACTTAGAGTAAATAACAGCCTGAAAAGAAGAAGTTAATAGTAGATGACAGGGGGAAGGTCGGTGTGGAGCATGAATAAAAGGAAATAGAGAAGAGAATTTGAAAGGGGCACAACCATTTTGTAACTGTTTGCCCCCTATCTTGAACCTTAGATGAATTGTACTCCAGAATAAATAGGGCAATGCCAAAGATATTTCTTGATACAAGAACTTTCGGTGGGGGGTCAAATACAGACGTATGTTACTTAGAGGTTGTAAATTCGAATTGTCCAAAGGGTGGCCGGTGTAACTTTTTGGTATAAATTTTTGACCTTAGGCCCATTTACACATCCCAAACACGATTTAAAAAAAATTTGCAGTGTAAAAGCAGCTTTAGATTACATTTTCTGCAGAATATATAGAATCCTGAAGAATTTCTCCTTTTTTTCCCCCAAGAAATAACTTTCGATGGGGGTAGTGGGGTCAAATACAGATGTAGGTTAGGAAAGGGTGGCCAACACAACTTCTTGGTCTGAATTTGACCTTGCAAATGCCTGAAGCCCTCTTTAAAGTTTATCGCTACTAAAGAAGAGGGGTTAGGTGGAGGGTGTGGGAAGGATCTGTAGAATATCATCAGCCAAGTTCGGCTTTATAAACAATCTTTTACTTTCCCACCATGATGTAGATGATGAGGATTTAGATTTAAATTTGTATGGAGTTATGAAGGTCAAAGTGTTAGTAACTGCTTATGCATCATACATCAACCTCCTTGCCCCCCCCCCCCCCCTCCCCACACCCATTATTCCCCTTTTTAGTTCTCCCCTTTCTATCTCTCTCTCTCTCTCTCTCTCTCTCTTGTTCTCTCTGTTTCTCTAGTTTTTGTAAAACTTTTTTTTTCTTCCTCCTTTTTTTCTTTCTCTCTCTCTATCTTTCTTTTTACTCTCCATCTTTCTTTCTACTCTCCATCTTTCTTTCTACCCTCCTTTCTTTCTCTCTTTCTACCCTCCTTTCTTTCTCTCTTTTTTCCCATTTCACAATGTCTTCCCCTATCTGTCTCTATTTATTTTCTTCTCCCCATCTCCTTTTCTTTGCCCCTTTCTTCTCTCTTTTACTGTCTATTAACACCTCTCACTTTCGGAATGACCCTACTGACACCTGATGCAATCAAAAACTTCAAAACCCCGTTTCTGAGAAGTTTTGACTTTGGCTGCCAGTGGAAAAATGTGAGTCATGCAAAACAATGTTGAAAAGAAGTTCTTTGAAACTGCTCAATCTAGTGTGGTAATTGTAACATGGGAACTAACATTGTTGTTATTGATACTTGTGTACTCATTGTAATTCTTGGAAGGAAATTGCATTTCTTGAAAAGAAGGAGATTTCGTCAATGCTGCATGCAAAATAATGAATGGAAACATGCTTTCAGTTTATGAACAAACAAACTTAAAATTGAACATAATATTGAAATATCCTGTGTGTGCTGCATGTATGGCATTTTATTCCCAACATTAACACGAATGATATAACCAGCTGTTGCAGGTCTTGTGTAGTAACCATGGAAACACAGATTGTTAACCCAGTCACTTACAACCTGTAAAATAAATTGAAGGTATCAGAACGGATCAGCCCGTCGATCCTGCCTTCAATTTGCATTCAAGATGGGGGTTCCTTCTCATCAAAGTGCGGCCCGTACTTGGGTAATAGTACGATGCCCCTCAATGGAATCTTGTATTAAACCAGGAAGGAGTTTCTCTTAATAGGATCTAAGTAGGGCATGGTGGGTGTTTAAAGGTCAATGATTGAAATGTGTCACATATAGGAGGGTGAATAAAGGGGAAGATGCGTTACCCCTAAAATAGAGAAGTGGATGAGGAGTGGTAGGGTACAGGGTAGTCTGGCATCCAGGAAAATGGAGTTTATCCGTCTTGATGAAGATGAGGTTGAGTGAGTATGTAAAAAGTAGCAAATCTCTTCCTTTTTTTCTTTCTTTCTGTCTCTCCTGTGCTTGTTTGAGAGAAACATTGGTTTAATGATATATTGGTGTTAAAATGGAGTTTCCGCTCTCCATGAAGTTCAGTGTACCTGAGGCTGGAGCAGTAAGATTTTTCCCTTTCGTGTCTGTCTCTTCTGTACTTCTTTGAGAGAAACATTGGTGGGATGGTATAATATTCTACATCACATAGGCTTGCCATAATTCTGCTCAACGTATTTTCATTGAGAGTGGGGAAAATCACTTCTGCCTTGAACAAGGCTAGATGAGAGAGGATGGAGCTACACATGAATGAACCATGGCAGAATAAACAAATATGAAAATGTTCCGATGGAAATTATAATTGTACCATTTAGAAGATTCACAAATGACTTACATGTGTGATTTGTTGTAGAAAACAAGGTTTTCATATTTATTATACATACATTCCTTTTAAGAGATGAAGAGAAGAGATGATAAAAATGATCTGAGTAAGCCCAGTTTTATCAGAGCATTTAAAGAGGATTTTTGTGTGGTTTTGTCGCTGCCATTATTTATGGTTATCCATGGCCCACATGAATAATAGTTTCATAGTTGCTTTCTCCATGCTTTCAGTCACTATTTCGTCTAATGGTTGGAAGTCACATTTGAAGAACCAAAGTCAAGCACCCATCATCTCCTCCCTCTCCTCTCTCTCCTCTCTCTTCTCCACTGATTTACCGCTGTCATGGAAAGGAAGCAATTCTCTCTGAAATTTGACATCAAGTTGATGAGAAGGTCAGAGAGTAATTTCATCCTCTCCAAACACCTCCTCCCCAAACAGGACATCCCACACAGACAAACATTCCATCCGCGAATTGCTTGAACTACCAACATTTTTTTTCTGGAGAAGTGAGTTGAATACCATTTTTATTCTTCATGAGGGTTTTCGGTCAATGTTATTCTGAAGCAGGCTTTGTGAGATTTTGCCTAAAGTTGCTGTGGACTTCAATGATTTTTCCGGGAATGTGAGTGACATTGTGATGTCATGTTACGTGTAGGGAATAATGGCCTGCATATCTGTGCATTTCATTGCACATAATGATCATAAGTCTGTCTGTCTGATGGCTGTTTTCGCCTGTAAATGAGTTTCTACTCATCTTCCATGTGTAATATCTTTGGAATATTCCTATCTATTTTAAACAATATCTAAAACTGACTGCAAGGATAAGGCTTTTTGTTTTAAAGGGATCCAGTAACTTTGTCTTAGATACTTTAGAAATAATCCTTGATTTAGCTCATGCAATGATAATTATAAACCTTTAGATCAGTCAGGAACTCCATGACTTTTACAAGCTGATCGCCTGTTTGATTATCAAGATATTAATGATAGGAATTA